TCGCGGGATGTAGACGCTTCCACCACCTACACCTGCTCAGCTTCCGTAGAAGTCAGTCTGAGGTCTGCTTCTCACCGAGCAGGACTGAGCCGGGGGATCCCCCGTACAGGAGACCCAGGTGAGGAAAGAGATCCGTGGGCCCAAGCATCGCCTGCCAGACTTTGTATCAGAAGGAACCATGGTCCAAGGGAGGTGGCCGGGGCTGGGCTCACGCTGCCGACCCGGGAGAAATCATCGATGGGGGTGGATTTCGTCACACAGTGTCACGACGGTTAGTGATGCAGCCTTTGCTAGCCTATGTGCTCGAGAAAAGCTCATGCGAGCACACTGCGGCTTCGCCCTGGTCTTTGGAACAGCTGCAGACTCACTGGTTCCCCAGCGTAGGCTGTGCGTCCCACCCAGCACACGCACTGCACCTGCCCACCGCGAGGGGCCCCCAGCTGTGCGTCCCACCCAGCACAGGCACTGCACCTGCCCACCGCGAGGGGCCCCCAGCACACTCGGGGGAGGCTGACTCTATTCACATCCTGCTTGACAGTGAGGGCCCCCAGGCCTGGGGGCTCCAGGTCCACAGAGCGGCCCCTCTGCCACCACGACCGGGACGCAATGCAGGAACCACTCTGTGGCCCCCAGGGGACAGCCACCTGCGGAGTAGATCTCTCCTGCCTCCCTCCGGGAGCTCAGCTCTGCCCCAACCTCCCCTCAACCCTAAGCTGGAGGAGACGTGCTGCTGCTGAGTCCCTGCGCTCGGTTCACCTCCTGTTTCCTCATTTCGCTGCCGCGTTTCTATCAGAATCCGTGTTTGCGTCTAGACCAGGAAGGAGCAGAGTAGGGAGGAGACAGGACTCACTCCGAACCCCAGGACAGGGGGAAGGGGACAGAAGGCCTCCAGCTCCCCATGTCCCCGGACCATGCTCCCCCTCCCCCTCCCCCGGCACCCCCACCCGTGTCCCCCAACCCCAAGCTCCACGTGTCTGCCTGGCTGGTTCTGACGAGCTCGGGCCCCACCTTGTGTCCGTGCCGGGCCTTGGCACCTCCCTTTCACAGGGTCACCGGCCAGCTGATCGGTGTGTGCTGTGTTGTGCAGGGCGGGGTGGGGGGTTCTCTTTTTATTCCAGGTTCTTGTCGTGCACAAAGAGAAGAATTCTTGGGCTGACACTCATGCGTTTTATTGCGAAGGTGAGAAAGTGAACTCAGGTGCACGGGTCACCCCCTCCCCCACACACAGATACCCGACATGAGTGGGGGTGGGCCCAGAAGGAGGGTGGGAGAGGGGGAGCAGAGCGAGTGCCCAGCGCCCCCCCCAGCCACGGCATCCGAGGCACCTCCTTTTATGAGCTGTGCGTGTGGGGAGGGCCTGTGTGTACAGATGTGAAGTCGCCTGGACTCTTAAAGTACTTGGTGCCTAATGTACATATTTCCACGGCGCCTTCCTCCCCAGGTCCCTGTTGAAACACAGGCATCCTGGGAAAGGGGCTGTTCTGATTGACAAGTAGGATAGACTCACAGGGGCGGGACTTGTGGCTTGCAGGCCCCTCCAGCTGCCTGCCCGTGCCCTATCATGAGGAACCCCTGGGCGTCCGGGCAGAGGCTGCAGGAACCCATGGAGATGCCAGCCGTCCCCGTGCTGCCCCTGGGGTTGGGAGCCCATGTCTGGCCATGTTGTGACCCCCTCCCGCCGGCCACAGGAGCCTCACAGGTGGCTGATGGTGGATCGGTGAGTAGCCTGGGCCTTGGTGGGCTGAGCCGTGGGCCTGTGGAGGACTTTTCCTAGGCAGCTGGACAGAGAGGCAGCAACAGGGCGTGGCAGGAGGAGCCCAGGGTGGAGGCTGCAATGCTGATGGGGTGGGAGGTAGCCAGGGAGCCCTCTGGTCCACACGGAGGCCCAGGCCATGAGGTCCGGACGCAGCGAGAAAGTCCGTGGGGAAAGGGAGGCAGGGGGAGGCCCCAGAGAGCAGAATAGGGGGCGGTGCTGTGGTGCAGTGGGCCAAGCCTCCACCTGCAGTGCCGGCATCCCACATGGGCACCGGTTCAAGTCCTGGCTGTTCCACTTCCCAGCCAGCTCCCTGCTAATGCACTTGGGAACGCAGCAGAGGATGGCCCACGTGCTTGGGCCCCTGCACCCATGTGGGAGACCCGGATGAAGCTCCTGGCTCCTGGCTTTGACCTAGCCATGCCCTGGCCATTGCAGCCATTTGGGGAGTGAACCAGCAGATGGAAGACCTCTCTCTCTCTGTCTCTCCCTCTCTCTCTGTAAGTCTTTGGAAATGAATAAATCAATCTTTTTAAAAACAAACAAACAAAAAACCCAGGAGCATCCAAATAACCAATCCTGTGTCTGCCCAGGGGCCTGTGCTTCCTGGGGCCCCCTTGGTCTGTTTCCTGTCACTGTAACAAAGCTCCCTGGGCTGGCGGCCCAGAGTGGGGGGTGGGGGGTGATGGGGGAGCTGGGAGGGGCCGAGCGGCCTGGCGCCAGGACTCTGCTGGAGCAGCATCGGGAGACTCAGCAAGGCCAGGCTGTGCGTGTCGGGGGGGGGGGTGCCCTCACTCACAGGAGGCGCCTGCACAGCCAGGAGTCCCTGGCCGAGTCTCCTCCCCCAGGCACGGGTTCCCTGGGGGCCGAGGTCAGCAGGGGCGTCCCGGGAACAAGCCTTTCCTCTTTCCCCCGCCGCTGGTGCTCTCCGGGGAGCCCAGGTGGGCGCGAGGAGCCGGGCATAGGTAGCACTGGGCCAGCGACAACTGGTGTGGCTCAGGCGAGAGGCTCCCTGTGTGCCCCACCAGAATGAAGTCCAGGGCGAGCCCCGGTGTCCCAGTGGCGTCCACAGGTCTAGGGCCTCTCCCCCGCTCTGCTCAGCTGCCTGCCCACATGGTGGAGAGTAGAGTGTGTGTGTGGGGGGGTTCCCCAAAATGACAAGAAAGGTTCTGAGATCTGAGATCAGGCAACATCCAGGGAACTCGCCCTCCAGGGGGCGCTAGTGAGCAGCACGGTCACAGCAGGGCCTCCGGCAAATCTCCAGCGCCCCAGACCCTGCCTTCCAGGACACCCACCTGCCCAGAGCCGGACAGCCGCCCCTGTGGACGCCACACCGCTGGGCCTAACTCCCGGCCTCCCCTCCTTCCTAACCCGCTCCGTTTCCCCATCTCTAGGGTAGGGATAGTGACGGCACCTGCCGTGGGCTCACCCGGGGGCTGGGCCTGGCACAGCGAGGACCCCAGCAAGGGTTGCTGCCTGTTGGAGAGTTCAGATTCCAGGGCCCCTGTCCCCAGACCACATTCCCCAGGTCCCCCAGCGCGGCAGTCAGACAGCCGACGGCCTGCCTCCGTCCCGAGCACCAGAGGAGTGGCCACTTGGGGAGTGAACGAGCGGATGGAAGACCTCTCTCTCTCTGTCTCTGTCTGTCTGTCTCTCTCCTACTTTGCCTTTCAAACAAATCTTTACAAAAATTCTCTCCCACACGCCCGGGCAAGGTCTCCACTCTAAAGACCAGGTACCCCAGTGCCTGCAGGGACCCAGCGGGACAGGGGCTCCGGGTGCCTGTCCCCTCGAGGCCACCACACACACACACGGCTGCAGGAGAGCCGGGTGCGGTGCACTCAGCTCTGTGTCCCCTGGAGCCCAGGAAGAATAAGGAAATTAGCGAAAAACGGGCGCCTGCTGTCTGCTTCAACCTGAGCCCACACCCAGCCGGTGCTCTGCCGCCCCCGTGCGGTCACTTGTAGGATGGCAGGGCCGGCTACCCCTAATTTCCATTACGAATTGTTTCAAGCTCACAGGACACAGACTGATTAATTAATAACCGTGTCGCTCTTCGAGATTTAACAATTACTTTTTGTTCCCAAAGTTTCCTTTGACTTTTTAGAGATTCAAGTAAACCAATGACATCACATCTCAACCGGTCCACCTCTAAAAATGACATTTTCTACACAGGGACCATCCCAAACCACACTGACCAAATCAGTGATAACTGCCCAATATGACAAATGCACCACTCACATTCACAGTTCCTTGACTGTTCCAGAAATGTCATTTAAAGTTGTTTTTTCAAATCAGGGCCCAAATGAGGCCATCGACGGGTGTGGCAGCTCCTGAGCGTCTTTCCCGGGCGGCACGGCTCTGGGGTGACGTCACGGCTCCGGGGTGACGTCACGGCTCCCTGAACTTCCGCTCGTTGCTGCAGCCGGGCTCCCTGCGTCTGCCCAGCGGTTTCCTCGCCTCTCAGGCCGCTGCGGCCCCTGGCCCCCGGGCCTCCCCCGCGGAAGCTTGGATTCAGCTCCACTGTCTGGGGTGGGGCTCCCCGGGGCTCCCGCGTCCCAGGACAGCACAGCAGGGGGCCTCTGCCGGGCGCCCGCCTCCAGCGTGCACCCCCTGCACCAGCAGGCCCTGGACGACCACCCTCACCCCCCTGCATTTTGCCTGTGGGCAGCAGGTGCACCTGGGCCGGACAGCGCGGGCCCTGACCTCGATGGCTGTGGTCTCCCCGAGACCGGCTGCAGAGGGGCCTCTCCTGGACGTTCCACTCCTGTGTCAGCTGAGTCGCAGCCGCAGCCGCCATCTCCCTGGGGCACAGCCCGTCCTGGGAGAGTAAACCAGACCCCGCCCCCTCCTGTCAAAGCGGGAACGAGTCTTTTCACGGTTCTTTTTATTTGAGAGGGAGAGACAGACAGAGAGGTCCTCCGTCCCTGGTCACTCCCCAGAGGGCCAGGCTGGGCCAGCGCGGCCAAGAGCCCGTGACCGTCTGGGTGACCCGGGAGCAGGGACCCGGACACCGGGCCATCTCCTGCGGCTTTTCCAGGAGGATCGGCAAGGCGTGGGCTCAGGAACGGGGCAGCCACAGCGGCCGCCAGCGCCCGCGGGCGGGGACTTCACCCGCTGCACCGACCCGGCTCCCGGCTCTCCTCACCAGCGCCTGGCAGGAAGACGCCCGGCGCGTGCGCAGTACGAACGGCCCGGCCCACGCTCCGCCCACCTACTACAACTCCCGGCAGGCCCCGCGCGCGTCTCGGCCGCGGCGCGCTCTGCTGACGTAGCTCAATAGCGCGGGGAATTTCGAGTGGGAGCGCAGCGCGGGAGGCCAGCGGGCGGCCGACCCCCAGCATCCTCGGGAGTGACCATGGACTCCCTGGCCGAGCCTCGGTGGCCGCCGGGCCTGGCAGTCATGAAGGTGAGGGCTCCTTGGGGCCCGGAGAGGGGCGACGACGGGGCGCGAGCGGCGAGCGGGGCCGGGTGCCCGGCTGTGCCCTGCCGGTCGCCGGGCGCGCGGCTCTGGGCCCGAGCGTCCTCCGCTGAGAAGTGACAGGGACGGGCGTTGGTGTGTCGCGGCGAGCCGGGAGGGTGGCCGTCGCGCGGTGCGATGCCGGCAGCGGCATGGCGGGCAGCCGTGGGCGCCACAGTGGCGGCCCGGCCTTGCCGTGGGCTCCCGTGAGCGCGGCCTCACGTGACGATCTCCGCGCGCGGGAGAGCAGCCGGCTTCCCTCCTGCTGCTCGTGCGCGCCCTCTGCTCCCGGCCGCAGCCCCGAAGCCTGCCCCCAGCAGCGGCCCGTCTCCCTGTCTCTCCTAACCGGAGATCGGGCCTGAGCCCGGCGCCGGCCGTGGGTTGAGTGGACCTCGGTTAGGTTTGCCCCCGGTGTCCGTGCACGGCCCAGGACTCCTGCAGGATGCGCTCCAGGGCAGGTGCAGCTCGCCGGGGCGGCCTCGCCCTGCCTCTCGTCCTTTGTGTTTGTGAGGCCGCCTCCCTCTGCGCTTGGGTCTACCCGGGGGGGGGGGGGGCTGTGGGTCTGCCCCGTGGGCTCCGCAGAGGGACCTGGGGGCGGCTGCGGTCACCCAGGGCCTTGATGTTTGTGCTGACGTCGCTGCCGGGACCTGGGGTATCCCGGCAGTGACTGACGGGGTGGCCTGAGATAGCCCCGAGTGGACGGGGCACACAGGGGCGGACCAGGCCGTGCAGCTGAGGTGCAGGGGACGAAGGCGTGGGTTCGGGGTCCAGTGGCCCTGGTTCATTGTGGCCCCTATGAGTCTGAGTGTACTCAGGGGGTGGGTGGCGTAGGCTGACGAGTGTTGGTAGCGACCCAGGCTTAGCAGGTGCTCAGAATCCTGCACGGGTGGATCGAGGGTGCCGGGCGAGGTAAGCGTTAGCACCTAAGGCGTGCTTGGTGCTGCCGGCAGGGCTGCGTTGGCGAGAGAACAGGGACCCGCGCGGCAGCCCTGCGGACTTGCCTGTTCTGTAACCCTATTCAAGCTGTTCAGAGCGGGCTCCGCGTCCCCTGTGGATGGAGCGGGACCCCGGGGCCGGGCTCCGCGTCCCCGGTGGGTGGAGAGGGACCCCGGGGCCGGGCTCCGCGTCCCCGGTGGGTGGAGAGGGATCCTGGGCCGGGCTCCGCGTCCCCGGTGGATGGAGAGGGACCCCGGGGCCGGGCTCCGCGTCCCCGGTGGGTGGAGAGGGACCCCCGGGCCGGGCTCCGCGTCCCCGGTGGATGGAGAGGGATCCTGGGCCGGGCTCCGCGTCCCCGGTGGGTGGAGAGGGACCCCCGGGCCGGGCTCCGCGTCCCCCGGTGGGTGGAGAGGGACCCCCGGGCCGGGCTCCGCGTCCCCCGGTGGATGGAGCGGGACCCCGGGGCCGGGCTCCGCGTCCCCGGTGGATGGAGAGGGACCCTGGGCCGGGCTCCGCGTCCCCGGTGGATGGAGAGGGATCCTGGGCCGGGCTCCGCGTCCCCGGTGGGTGGAGAGGGATCCTGGGCCGGGCTCCGCGTCCCCGGTGGGTGGAGTCGGACACCGGGCGCTCTCAGAGCTCAGCCCCGGTTGGCTGCGCCCAGCCGAGCTCGCTGGCCTCCTGCGGGTTCTGAAGGCGGAAACCAGCGCCCTCTGGTGTCCCGGCCGTGTTGTCGCGCGTCCAGGGACAGAACCCAGGAGCTGCCCTGGTTCCTCCAGTGCTGCGTGCAGCTGTCACTCACGCAGACCCGCAGCGAGACGTGGTGCCTGCGTGCACGTGTTTCTGAGAAGTCCAGAGTGTCCAAGCACGTTGCAAAGGGCGCTGTTGTCCCCAGGACTTTCTGTAGTTGTTGAGTTGTCCTCGCATCCTGTGCTCCCGGTCACTGTCTCCAAACGCAGGCTCCCCCGGGACGCCTGCTGGCCGTCCCTGTCCCCTCCAGGCATTTATGTTGTGAGGCACGTGTGGCATGCATGTGGTGCATGCATGGCATGCGTGTGGCGTGGCGTATGTGTGGCACACATGTGGTTTGTGTGTGGTGTGTGTGGCATGCATTGGCATGCGTGTGGCGAGTGTCGCGGTAGCTCCGGCCCTGCCCTCCCGCAGCCGAGGGTTGTGCGAGGGAGCCTGAGAGCCCGAGAGGCTGCCTCTGCCCGGCGCCTCCCGCAGTGCTCTCGGTGTCCCTGAAGTAGCCGTCCCGCAGAGTAACGGGAGACTAGGGCGTGTTACTGTTTATTTCCCTGGTTTGGCTGTAATAAGCTTTTTTTTGATTGGGACACATTATAAATATAAGATGTGTCCACATTAAAAATAATAACAATTCAGACTGGCATAAAGAAGGAGCCAAGGAACACTGCTGGTGACCTTAGCGTCAGACAGAGCCGCTGTTAGTGTCCCCTCCTGTTTCCCTTCAGTCCTCCTGCATGTGGCTGTGGGTCGCCGTGGTGGCGCCCTCGGCAGCTCCGGGCCCTGGGCTTTGCGGTTGGCCTGGTGCTGGGGGCTTCCCGAGACTGTCCTGGCCCCCAGGCTCCGGGGTCTGGGCTGCTGTCGATTTCTCTTCCGACTTTGAAGAAGTATGCGTTAGAACGTGAACGCTGACCCCTGCCTTTTTTTTTTTTTTTTTTAAGATTTATTTATTTACTTGAAAGTTAGAGTTACACAGAGGAGAGGCGTGGGGTGGGGTGGTCTTCCATGGCTGCAGTAACCAGAGCTACCCCGATCTGAACCCAGGAGCCAGGAGCTTCTTCCAGGTCTCCCACGTGGGTGCAGGGGCCCAAGGACTTGAACCATCCTCCACTGCTTCCCCAGGCCACAGCAGAGAGCTGGATCGCAAGTGGAGCAGCTGGGACTGGAACTGGCACCCAAATGGGATGCCGGCACTCAGGTGGTGGCTTCACCCGCTGCGCCACAGCACCAGCCCCTCCCCTGCGTTATTCTTGCAGTACACAGGGTGCTGATGGCACATGATATCCATCAGGCCGACTGGTAGTGACATTAATCCTTTTTTGTTTATATTTTTAAAAGGTGACAGATTCATGTTTCAACAAATACATAAAAGCAGATGTAACAGTCTCCCTCCCACCCTGTTCCTTGTTTGCCCCCAGCTGACCTCCCCAGGGGCTGTTACTTCTAAGTTCCTTGCGGATCGTCACAGAATCTCTTTCCGTGTGTGAATGAGGGAAATAGGACACGTTTTTCCTCAGTCTTCCCTTGTTAGCAAAAGGTCGGCGCTTGCCACACTGTGGGCTCCTCTCCTCCGTGATCTCGGGTCTGTTTTCTACCCGTACATCGGAGTGTTTCCTTCTGAGTGTATGTTTGCCCGGATCCGCTGAGTGGAACGACGTGGTGTTTGAGAGGGTTGCGAGCAGACGCCGTCCTGCCCGGTCGCTGCCCAGGTGACACACGCGTCTCTGGCTCTCTGCGCCGTCTACTTCCTCACTTCCTTTTCTTGTCACTGTCCCAACGGTGACGTGAGCCAGCAAATGCAGTCTGAGGAGCGGCACGGGGAGCCGCTACCTGGGCTGCCGGCCAGGCCCGGAGGCTGCGTGGTGCCCCCGTCCGAGCGGCTTGGGCTCTTCTGTCGAGGACCCTGCGTGTATCCGTCTGACAAAGGGGTTTTACTGAATTACGGTTTTGGGGATGAAGAAGTTCTGTGTAAGCCCTCCACTCTCGGTGTCCTGGTCTGTGGGGAGCAACTCGGACTAGACTAAGTTACTGGAATTAAGACTTATTCTATGCATCTGCTCTCCCACAATATGGTGCTGGGAGAGAAGTAAACAGCTTCTGCACAGCTGCCTCCAGTTCAACCAATAAGCAGCAGGACCTGCTCCTGATTGGAGGAGAGCAGCGTACTCGGCGTGTGGGCAGCCGAGTTGGGATTGGCGGAAGAGGACTATAAAGGAGGAGAGAGACAACATGCACCAGGAACATCTAAGGGGAACATCTATCTGAAGGAACACCTGTGCAGCCCCCGAGAGAGCCGGCCGGCGGTGTGCCGCTCCCCCACGGAAGTGGGGAAAAGTGGCAGGGGGAACCGCCCTTCCACGGAGGTGGAAGGGACGGTAGCCAACCCGGGAAGAACCAGCAGCAAACCTGGGAAGGGCCGAGCAGACAAAAGAACAACGCAGGGTCCTGTGTCGTTCCTCCACGAAGACGGGGAGCGACATAATGGTGCCGTGACTCGGATATGAAGCCTAGGCAGGGTTTAGTGTCGTTCCTCCATGAAGAGGGGGAGCGACACTGGCCTAAGTGCGTGTATTTTTTGTGTTTCAGACGGTAGATGACTTGCTGCGATGTGGAATTTGCTTTGAGTATTTCAACATTGCAATGATGATCCCCCAGTGCTCACATAACTGTAAGTACGCTTACTTCTGCGAGTTAGAAGTGTGGTTTTTACCCCAAGCCAGAGATGAGGACGCCTTTACTTCTCAGTCTTTGCTCTTCTCTCTTGAAGTTTTCAGTCAGCCTCTTCAGCCCCCATTGCCTGAATTTTGACATTTTTATGAAGGGTCCTCCCTGTTGGATGGTTTTATACTTTTTATATCATTTATGGCAATAAAGATTTTGGTCATAATGTGTGATCACTTTTAGATGTTAAATTTCAGAGCGTTTCTTTTTGACAGGGTAGCAGGTGGCTCAATCACTAGTACGTGGTATGGAATTTCAGAATTAAACATCGGTATCGCTCAGCATACACAGGCCTCTCCTTGGGATGGCTGTGTTCCAGTGAACCCGTGAAGCTGAAGCTGTCGGCAGTGAGAATGGTGGACTGCTCTTGTCTCCCAGGCATCCTTGCTCAGCAACACGGCCCCCAAGGGTCACTGTTTACCCTCCCCACTGCGTGGCTGCCGCTGCTCGGTGTCCCAGGAGAGCCCGCCCTGTGCCGAGGTCGAAGATCAGGGTTCAAAGCCCGGTTTCTCCTGACGTCCGGTGGCTGTCAGCATCCTGGAGTCAGGAGTTGCCGGTTGAGCCCCGAGAGCCGGGGCCGCCGTCTCTGCCCCGTGGGAGAAGGCTGCTGCGCAGTGGTGCCGATGGCTCTGTCACTCCGCTGTGTGTGCGCGGCGCGGGAGGAGTTGTCTGCTAGCACTCTCCCGTGCTTGTCTGGGTCCAGCACAGTAGCACTGGTATAATGTAGTGTGAGGGATTCTGCACCTGGGAGTCAGCCCGTCCAGCTTAGGCATTGTAGGTCCGTGGTCTTTCCTGTCCCTTCTTTTCCAGTTAATTTGTCTGAGGAAGTTGGAAAACAGCTTAGGTTTAAAAGGAGTGCTTGTGATGGGTGTGGGTTTGGCGGGCCAGCTCATGGGGAGGTGTGGCGGCCGTGTGAACCCACGGATACACTCGGGTCCAGCTCCCACTCCCCACGTCCTGCGTGGATGAGCTTGCAGGAGCTCTCTGTGTATTCCAGGGTGAAGTTCTAGGGGGGATTCCTGTGTCAGAGGTGGTGTGGAGAATTAAGTGTGCACACCTCGGGGTGTGGCGCCATCAAAGGTCCTTAATAAATGTTTGTATCCTCCTGGAACAGATCCTTCCTCCCTCCCTCCCTCCCTCCCTCCCTTCCTTTTTTACTTTTTTAAAAAAATTTATTTTTATTTATTTTAGAGGTGGAGTTACAGGCAGAGGGAGAGACGGAGAGAAAGGGAGCTGGTTTGGAAGTGGAGCGGCCGGGACCCTATGGGGTGCTGGCGCTGCAGGCTGTGGCTTACCCCGCTCTGCCATAGCATCAGCCCCAGTATTACACCTTGTTGTGCCTGATGCTAGAAAAGTGTGTTCTCTTAGTTCCTTGGCGGACTTAGGTAGAGCTTGATCAGTTTTAATGCTTTCTTTTGAAAGACCAAGTTTACTGTTTTGATTTCTTTCTTTTTACTTGCTTGGGTTTAATTTACTCTTTTTTCCCCTCTGGTTCAGAGAGTTGGTGTAGATCCTTTCCAAAGTAAGCATTAAAGCCCGGGTGTCCCTCTGAGCTCTGCTTAGCTCCATCCTGCAAAGGTTGATGGGTATTTTAACTTTTGTTCAATTTACAGTGTATGCCAAGTTCTTCCGTTATTTCATTTTTCATCCATGAATTGCTTAGAAGTCTACTGGTTAATTGCTAAATATTTAGGAATTTCCCCAATACCTTCCTTTAACTGATTTTTAATTTAATTTTATTCCAATCAGATTACATACTCTGTTGGATTTCAGTTCTTACAGTGTGAGCTTATTTTATGGCTCAGCGTGTGGTCTTTCTTTGCTAAGGTATGCGCACCTGAGAGGCATGTCTGGGCTGCTGGAGTCTTAGGGGTGGTGTGTGACCGTCAGGCCAGGGTGGTTCATGGTTCTCTTAAGTGCTGGTTGTCTCTGTTGATTCTCTGGAATTTAACTGCAGGAGGAGAGCAGTGCTGACAACTCTGCCTGCAGTGTGGTCTTCCTGGTTTGTCCTTTCACTTCTGTCAGGTTTTGCTTTATGTATTTGGAAGAGCTGTTAGGTGAACTGACTGCTTTGTTATCGTGAAATGTGCGGCTTTATGCCTGGGGATGTTGCCTGTTCCGGGGTCTGTTTCTTTGTTTCTAATCTTGGGATAGCCACAGTACTGCTTTACATTAGTGTGTCATTGGTGTATCCTTCTCCATTCTTTTACTTCAAACCTATCTCACTATATCCAGAGTGGTTTTTTTAATAGACAGTGTGTGTTGGGTCTGTCATTTTTATCCCGTTTGGCAAAATCTGCTTTTTTCCAGGAATACTTGGAGTTACACTGTTTCATATAGAAGCTATTAGTAACATGTGGTGACTGTTTACATTTTAATTAAATTTTATCAAAGTTAAATGAAATTGAACTTCAGTTCCTTAATTGGACTGGCCGTATTTCAAGTGCAGATAAGGAACATTTCTGCTGTTGAGGAAAGTGGGTGTGATTGTTGATGAGGGTGAGTTCACACACACACACACACACGTATACGTGGAGAGCTCCCATTGCTGATGCACTTGCCTGAATGCCTCCAGGACAGGGCCAGGCTGGGACCAGAGCTGGGAGCCAGGGCTGCAGTCTGTGTGTCCATGTGAGGGTCAGTCACCACTGCCGCCCGGGGTCTGCACTCGCAGGAAGTGCACAGAGTTGGTCACTGACCCAGGCCCTGGCACGTGGGAAGTGTGGTTCTCACCCAGGGAAGTGCCTGCTCCTTGCCAACTTGCTTTTTGTTTTAGTTTGTTCATCTGTTCTTTCCTCTCTTTTTGACTTTTTAAAAAAACAAAATTGAAAAAAAAAACAAAATTGAACTTTTGTTTAGAATTGTGTGTTTCTACAGCTGACTTATGACTGCTTCAGATATGCGTCGCCGCTCGCAGGGCGTTATGCCGTCCGCGGCGTGCGTGCCGCCGTCCTCCCGGCGCTGTCCGCTTGTGATTTTACCGCTTTCCGTCTGCTCTTGGTTCCTGTTTTTTTCCGTGGTGGTCGGAAAGCACACGTGGATGACTCCGTCTTTCACAGGCTGTTGAGGCTCCTTGTTGTGACCGGTGGAGGTGTGGTCTGCTGCTCCTGCTGGAGCGTTCTGTCCCTGCCTGTGGATTCACTTGGTGTGTGGTGGTGGTGCCTTGGGGACTTGCTGTCGGCTGTCGTGTCCATTACCGAATCTTCCTGTGTTTCTCTGTGGTTCTCCCTTCAGTCCCGTCATGTTTGCTTTACGTAGCTGGCTGCTCTGGCTCATGACTGGCCTGTCTTCTTGGTGGACTGACCCTTGTATGCTTCTGCAGTGTCCTTTTCTGTCTCTTATGACAATTTTTTGACTTACAGTCTATTCTGTGTTATACAGGTCTGGCCACATGGAATGTTTTTGCATCCTTTCACTTGCAGACTGTGTGTGAGTCTCTCATAGAGAACATATAGTTAGATCTTGTATTTCTTTTTTAAAATTTGTTTATTTATTTGAAGGGCAGAGTTAGAGAGAGAGAGATCTTCCATTTGCTGGTTTACTCCCCACATGGCTGCAACAGGCAGAGCTGGGCTGATCGGAAGCCAGGAGCTAGGAGCTTCTTCCAGGTCTCCTGTGTGGGTGCAGGGGTCCAAGTACATGGACCGTCTTCCACTGCGTTCCCAGGCTCATTAGTAGGGAGCGGGATTAGAAGTGGAACAGCCAGGATTCAAGCCAGCAGTCATGTGGGATGCCCCTGCTGCAGGTGGCAGTTTACCAAGTAGCCATAGCACTGGCCCCTCGATCTTGCATATGAATTCATGAAGCTACTCTGTTTACTGGGGAATGCAATCAATTTATGTTTAGAGTACTTCCTGAGAGTCAAGGACGTACTACTGATGCTTTGTTGGTTTCCATCTCTCTTGCAGCTTTTTTGGTCTTTTTTCCTTGCTAGCTGTCTTCCTTTATGTTCAGTTGATGTTTCTATAGGGACATGCTTTGATTCCTTTCTTGTATTCTTTTTCTTTTTTTTAAAAAATATTTTATTTATTTGGAAGAGTTACAGATGGAGATGGGGGGGGAGAGAGAGGTCTTCCATCCACTGGTTCACTCCTCAAATGGCCTTGGTGGCTGAGGCTGGACCAGGCCAAAGCCAGGAGCCAAGAGCTTCATCCATGTCTCCCACTTGGATGCAGGGACCCAAGGACTTGGGCCACAAGGCAGTGCTTTACCAGGCACATTTACAGGGAGCTGGATCAGAAGCAGAGCAGCCGGGTCTTGAACTGGCGCCCATGTGGGATGCTGGTGTCGCAGGTGGAAGTTCACCTGTTACACCACACTCCAGCTCTTCTCACTTTCTTTTGAGTATCTTCTGTAGATTTTCTTGTGCTTGCCAGGAGACTTTTATAAAACATATTTGCAACAGTCTCTTTTAAGCTGATACCTTAACTTCAATCTCAAAAAAGCTAGTCTTTTACTTCCTCCTTTTACATTTTATTGATGTCACACATTGTGTCTTTTTCTATCATGATTTCATTAACTTAGTTTTCTATAATTTTTTATACTGTGGTCTTAAATTCTAACCAGAATTAGAAAGAATTGATGCGTCAGAGTCTGTGCTGTAGCTCTATAGTGCTGATTTGGTGATGTAGAAGTCCTCAGAGCTTTAGTAGGAGCAGATCTGTTGTCTCCGCCGTTGTCCTGGATTGGCTCCAGATCGGTGACCCGGAAACCCAGCCATTTGCTGCTGCTGTTTAAACACTGGATTAGTTATTTAAATCACTGCATCTGTTTTGCGAAGTTGGCATTTGGGACGTGAGTGATGAGCAGTCCCTTTGCAGTGGCGCAGTTCCCGAGGTTTGGGTAGGATGCCCTGACAGGATACAGGCCAGCTGAGCTGATCTGAGTTTGTGGTGTTGAAGAGTGTTTGGAGAAGAGAGGGTGGACGCACTGCTTGCCTGTGAGAAACGCTCCGTTAATAGACCGCGAGGCTCAGGTGCCGGGTTTCTTTGTGCAGGTTTTCTGACGATAATGGAATGTGCTCAGAATGTTTGCTCTTAGATGAAATTGAGGGCTTATTGACACTGTTAAATTTCTATTATTCTAAAGGTTGACAGCCAGTCTCTTTCTTTTCCTTGTGTGGATTTTTATTTACAAAATCAACCAAGAGTTGTGTAGGAGTAAAAAGCAGTGTCATGAGCCGGCGCCGTGGCTCAATAGGCTAATCCTCCACCTTGCGGCGCCGGCACACCGGGTTCTAGTCCCGGTTGGGGCGCCGGATTCTGTCCCGGTTGCCCCTCTTCCAGGCCAGCTCTCTGCTATGGCCAGGGAGTGCAGTGGAGGATGGCCCAGGTGCTTGGGCCCTGCACCCCATGGGAGACCAGGAAAAAGCACCTGGCTCCTGGCTCCTGCCAGGATCAGCGCGGTGCGCCGGCTGCAGCGGCGGCCATTGGAGGGTGAACCAGCGGCAAAAAGGAAGACCTTTCTCTCTGTCTCTCTCTCTCCCTGTCCACTCTGCCTGTCAAAAAAAAAAAAAAAAAAAGCAGTGTCATTTCATCTTTTTCAAGAAGAGGGCTGTGAAACTGTTTCACGCGGCGGGCTCTGCTGAGTGAGAGGCAGCGTGAATTCCACGGGGCAGGACAGTGCTCTCCTCTCCCTAAGCTGGGGACGGCGCCGTGGGCCAGGACAGAGGAGGGCTGCCCTTGGTTAGTGCTGAGTGCCGTCCCTGCTGGGGGAGTGTTACCCTCCCGTCAGCCTGGACTCATGGGCGTTGCTATCACCGTTACTGTTGGATCAAAATCGCGTATGTGGACGGACTTACCGAAATCCGGTGGCTCAGCACGTCTGGGGCTAGGGCCTAGGAAAGTAACCTCCCGAGCGGCTGAGCCGGGCAGCCGGGGCCAGCAGCTGTTGATGGACAGTGTCGCTCAGGAGGCCGCACGGTGAGAGAAGGCGTTGGTAGTGAAGAGGAGTCTAGAGACGGTTTCCTCAGGCTGAGTCATACTCGAATCTCAGCCATACCTGATTGAGGTGCTGTCTGATGAATCTCGCCCATATCTGATTGAGGTGTTCTTTAGATGAAACTTTGGAGTTTAAAATTGGTGCTAAAACAAATTAAGACTTTTGGGCCTGTTGGTATGAGATGAATGTATTTTGCGTGTGTGAACGAGGTGAATTTAGGGGTTGAGGCGGGGGTGGAATGCTGTGAGTGAACTGTGTCCCCCCCAGTCCATGGTGCGTCCCTGACCCTTGATGAGCTGGTCTTTGGAGATGAAGCCTATGAGAGATGGTCGGGTTCAGATGGAGTCACGGGTGTGGTCTTCAGGGTGGGTTTGGGGTCCTAAAGTAAGAAGAGGTAGCAGAGTTTCCAGTCTTGGTCCTACCCCGAGAAGACGCAGAGTGGTTTTCTACAGGCCAGGAAGAGAGCTGTCGGTGGAAGCCCACCACAGCGGTCCCTGGTCCCAGGCCTGCAGCCTGCTACACTGGACACTGCTGTCTTAGTGCCCGCCCAGGTGTGGTGTCTGTGACTGCAGCGTCCGCACACGGAGACGTCCAGTTCTGCTACTCTGAGTCGCTGCACTCGCTCGTGTTGCCTGTGTGGGGCTGCTGAAATGTCCCTACGTGCATGTGTGTGTTCCGTGCATGTATATACACGTATTGGCCAGCTTTTCATCACTAAAGTGAAATTCCTGAGGCAACTAACTTCCTAAGAAAAAAGATTGATGTCATAGTTTTGGAGGTTCAAGTCCACCATCAGGCAGCCCCACTGGTTGGTCTCTGGGGCTGGCGTTCTTGCCCAGGTGTCTCGTAGCACCAGCCTGGGAGTGCACTTGCCAGGAACCATTCATGGGGGCCCTGCCCTGACACCTATGCCCCTCAGCTGTGAATTTCAAAGTCCCCAGTTTTTCCGTCCTGAGAGGGACAGGATGGTTGGGAGGGCTGCGTTGTCTATCTCCCTTCTCAGACCACTGGGGCCTGATAAAGCCCCCGGAATCAGGCTCTGCTGCCTTGGTTTCTCCTGAGGTAGACCTTGCTTCCTTGGAAATGCTTGCTTCTCCCTCCTCTGACTGCATGGACGGAGGAATTTTTTCCCGCATTGACTGTGAGAGCTTGGTAGAGCAACTGGCGTGAAACTCGCAGAAGCCCCAAGACAGGGCCCTGGAGTTTTAGCTCCAGACTTGCCCACACGGAGTCTGCAGCGCTTCCTTTAAGGTCCAGCTTTGCCTGCTGGGGCTCAGCCCCGCCGAGGGTTCCCCTGCGCTCACTCGTGATTCTCTGTGTTGTCTGTGTGGTCAGGCCTGGGCGCAGCAGTGTACCCCGTGACCTTGCATCTCTGGTGGATCCAAGGGGAGTCGTTACTGTTTCAGTTTGCCCTTTCCTGTCAGGGGACAAGGGACTTCCAAGCCCCCTACACACCAGTCACTTCCTTACTCCCAGAAGCTGACCTGTTTAATCCGTGTAACGTGCGCGCTTACTGAGGCTGGCAAGATGTGCTTGTTTCCTGGGTGTGTGTGCGGCTAAACCCATACTGTCTTCTCTGGACCAAGGTTCCGTAACCTCAGCCGAATTTGGGCTCCCAGTGAGCTGCCTGCACGTTAGTCACACCTGCTGCTGCTTTCCCCAGGAGGCACACTGCCTGCAGCGGCGAGAGTGCTCCACACCTGCTGCTTAGCGCTTGCCGACTCAGGCAGTGCCTTCCCTGGGCCGCCTCACTGGCCGCTCGGCGCCTTGAGGCCAGGGGCCTTCCCTGTGCACCGTTCCGTTCTCAGTGCTGTGTGGGTGACAGCTGTCATTTACAGACCGGAATATAGAAATCTCCAGTGTGATAATGTGGGCGCTTATTATTTCTTACGATGTGTAAGTATCTTATTTCACACGTTGTAGAGCAATCCTGTCTCTGCCACACGCAGCCCTAGTCTTGCAGGTGTGGCCCTTCTGCTGTGGATGGAGGGTACGTGTGTGTGTTGCTTACGGAATGCAGTATCCTGGGAACTCCCTGTAATTGGTGTTCATTGAAAACGCTGTGCACAGTTAAAGGTACTAGAGACGGAAGATTCTGTTCCTTAGAGAGATAATGAAAATGTTTTGTTGTCATATTCTTATGTTATTAGTATCACTTAATTAACTTACTGAATTGGTTTTTGTGTTTTTGCAGATTGTTCTCTATGTATAAGAAAATTTCTATCGTATAAAACTCAGTGTCCAACTTGTTGTGTGGTGAGTTTTTCTCTTTTTTAGACTTAGTGATTCGCACAGATATTTCTGCTTCTTTTATATGCAACAGCCCACGGGGAGAAGTGTAGCTTCTGAATTCAGCGTTATAAAGGCATTTTCAGGAGGAGCCTTTGGGCTCTGATCAGTTTTTCATTAAAGCTTCTGGACCTCTGGTAATCTGTAGTTCAGGAAGTAAAAGCAGGTTGTGAGCGAAGGACGCCTCCGGGCACGCATTCTCATGGGCCCTAGCTCTGTTGTAGCTCCTCACCTCTGGTAGAAACTCTGAGGTGGGCTTCTGCACTGCCGAGGGCTGGTGGCAGCGTTGGTGCCGAAGGCAAACAGGTGTGGCCGTCGGCCTTAACCAGCCTCACCGGTCCCTGGCCTGCTAGGCCCGATCGTCAGGGAAACACCAGGAACTTTCTTATTACAGGCTCAGAGACTTTTCAAGTAGTGGCGATAGGCGAGAGGTAGATGAAAGGGAGCTTGAACATCCGTGGCGGTAGGGAGGCGAGAGTCAGGTTGGGCAGAAACAGAGTGGGACTGTTGACGGGGGGCGAGTGTGGCCTCGGCGGGGGGTAGCGGCGTGTGGCGGACACTGAGCTTGCAGAGTGATTTCCCTGTGTGAGCGACGCAGCAGCGTGGCTCCCGAGCCCGAGAGCTGCCTCCCCAGGGAGAGGAGCCGAGCCCCACGCGCTGAATGAGCCCTGCAGGTACCCTTCTCCGTGTTCCTGAGAGCTGACCTCATCCGCAGACTCCGCTGAGTACTTAAAGCCTCTCCCATTATGTTGCTGAAAAGAGCGTCTCCTCTTTTTATTGGAGAAAATGTTTGGAAAGCCGAGTGCTGGTGTTTTGAAGAAAGATTCTTGCTCATATTAGGTTTTGTTTTAATGAGTAGAGTAAATAATATATGCTTTTAACAAATGCTTTGGAGAGCTTTTATCAGACTTCCAGTTAGCAGACCCTGAATCACTTTTTAGAATTCCACGTAGGCTGAGATAAATGAGCTTTGTTTTGAGGTTTTCCTGGAAGACTTGGTGGGATGGGGAGCCTCAGCAGGATGGGTCAGACATCCTCAAAAACATGGTTGTGACGAATAAATGATTGTTTTTGACCTTTTTCCATCTGTTGTTTTTCTTTTCTAGACTGTCACAGAGCCAGACCTGAAAAACAACCGTGTGCTAGATGAACTGGTAAAAAGCTTGCATTTTGCACGGTATGATTTAACGTTGTGACTAACCTCCGGCTGCTCCCGCCCGTGGTGTGTCCCCTCCGGCCTCTGCGGCGGACCTCTCAGTTGGGGTCTGCAGGGCTGCATATTTTGGAGTAAAATAAAGGAAATGATGATTGTTGTTATTCACACGTGCAAAATCTAATAGTGATAAGAATTTATTCCGTTACTAACCAGAAATTCTCCTGTACTGAACAGTTAAAGTGTGGGTCCGAGGACTCCTCCGGTCTTGGTTCTGTGAACATTCTCCTGGGATATCTTCTATTCTAGATTCAGCTGTGTTTTTCAGGTGCCCTAGTTCCTCTCACGGGAGCCAGGCTCTGGTGCTGGGGTGCGTGTTACCACGAGGGCATTACAGCTGCTTGGGCCTCTCAGTGGAGCTGGATGTGTTTAGGCCAGCCTGATGGACACACGCCCATAACTGGTTGTGTTTGTTGTATGTGGATCTATTAACTCCTAATCTGATTTACTCAGCATGTAAAAAATAATGTGTCTTGTGAAATATGTAGTTGTTTTATGTTTTCTAAAACTCACATATGTAGCTTTCCTTCCTGTCACATGCATGAATGTGTGAAAGTGATTTTGATCTCCCAGAGTGATCTAAAAAGGTATGTTTTACCCAACAATGCCTTGAAATTTTCTGAAGTTTTTTTTTATTTTTATTTTTTAAAGATTTATTTATTTATTTGAGAAGCAGAGACAGAGACATCTTCCATCTGCTGGTTCACTCCCCAAATGACCGCAGTGGCAGGGGCTGGGCTGTTCCGAAGCTAGGAACCAGGAGCTTCCTCTCAGTCTCCTATGTGAGTGTAGGGGCCCAAGTTCTTGGGCCATCTTCTACTGCTTTCCCAGGAGCGTTAGCAGAGAGCCGGATTGGAGTGGAGCAGCCGGGACATAGCTGGAGGCCATATGGGATGCGTCACAGGCGAAGGATGCTAGCATCGCAGGTGGTGGTTTAACCTGCGGCACTGCAATGCCATCCGCCCTGATGCATCTTCATGTAAAGGCCTAGATGTGATGGGAGTTAAGAGAAAGTTATTGGCTCATTTTAACTGTAAGCATCAACTTTGGATTTAACATTCTCACCCAGGTCATTTTTGTTGTAAGTGGTCTCGTGGCTTTAACGTCTGTGTTTACACTCGTGACATCCAGACTGTTTCTTCAGCTAGGTCTCATCCAGACTTCACACTCATGCGTCTCACATTCTGCGTGGACAGGAGCTGCTCTTGAATGATGTGCACCAAACGGTGCCGGTTCCCGGTGCTGCCTGTGACGCTGGCCCTGCCGCTCGCTCTGTGCTCTCCGGCTCGTCCACAGCAGCACTGCCCTCTCACTTGCCCGGCGCCAAGCCCTGGAGTCCTCCTGAGCCCTCCCGGTTACACCGCGTCATCCGTTAGTGGATCCTGGTGGCGTGTCTTCAGAACACTGGCAGGGTCTTACTGCTCTCACCTCCTTCCGGGACGCCGCAGCCCAGGCCGGGTCAGCCCGCGTTCCTGCCAGCACTTCCTCTTGGTCTTGACTGTGCTTGTGCTGTCTCAGAGCTCTTCCTGAGGCAGCAACCAGAGCGGTTCCTGTAAGAGAAAGTCAGATTGCGCTAAGACCGTGCCGGGCGCTTCCCGTGTCACTTGGCGAGAAGCCTGCCTCGGTGGCAGCCCCCTGTTCCCTGCAGTCCCTGCCGGGGCGCTTCCTGTCTGATTTGGAGAGAAGCCCTGCCTGGTGGCAGCCCCTGTTCCCTGCAGTTCGTGCCAGGGCACTTCCCGTGTCATTTGGAGAGAAGCCTGCCCCTCAGTGGCAGTCCCTGTTCCCTGCAGTCTTGCTCCCTCTGGGGCCTTAGGCCACACCTCGCTGCTCCGGTTTACTCAGTTCCAGTCCCTCTGGCCTCCCTGCCGTTCTGTCTGCTGACCTCACTCTGACCCTGAAGACTTCTGCTCCTGCTCCACTTCACAGTGGACGCCTGTTTCCCTGTTCAGCCCTGGCTCAGCCCTGACTCGGGACTGGTTCTCCTGGGGCGTCTTGGTGAGGTGCTGTGGAGAGGATCCGGCGTCTGCTCCACACGTGGTTTCCTTGCTTCTGGCACCTTTCGCATGCACTGTGTGTGTGTCTGTCCGTAGTGTCGGCTTCATGAGGACAGAGGCCTCTCTTTGCTTATGTTAGATTTCTCTGCCAAGAATAGCTGACACTTGAATAACTTAAGAATTTTAACTTTAGTGTGGAGAATAGTTTTATCATGGTAATGGAGTTTCCATCGGCCATGGTCTTTGTTGACTGAATTGAAGTAAGAGAGCAAATTAGTAAAAGGAAATTTATCTGAAGTGTGGATAAAAGCCAAGGTGTGGCTGAGTGGACACCTGGCCGGAGAGGCGGGCGTCCTCCCTAGTGGGGGTGTGGTCTCCACTGTGTGCTGTCTGCTTTACTTGGTCGTGATGGGCGGACGCTTTGCTAAGAACCTTTCTACAAAGCTGGGTCTGGAGCGAAACAGACCGTCAGTGTTTGTGCTCCTGTTTGTATTTTGTTTGTTTCCTCTCAAAGACCAAGATTTTTAAGTTTTTGTTTCCTTTAATCTTTCTTCCCCTCTAGCTTTTATTTATTTATTTCCAAATTTTCCATTCTGGAAAAATCCAAATTTAGACAAATGTGTGGAAAATAAAATAATGAAATAATGACATAAGCTCCTCACCATGTGCCTGCCAGCATTTGTCAGCTTGTGGACGATCTTAGGGTTTTTTTTTTCAAGATTTTTTTTTTAATTTCAAAGTGAGAGTTACAGGAGGGATGAGATAGATAGATAGATATATCTTCCATCGTCTTGTTCACTCCCCAAATGGCAGCAACATCTGGGGCTGAGATAGGCCAAAGCCAGGAGACGGGAACTCCATCTGCATCTGCCATGTGTGTGAGGGACCCCAGCACTCGGGCCACCTTCCACTGCTGTCCCAGGCACATTGGCAGGGAGCTGGATCGGAAGTGGAGCAGCCGGGACTTGAACCAGCGCTCTTACGGGACGCTGGTATTGCTGGTCTTGCAGGCAGAGGCTTGACCTGCCGCACTAGGCCGGCCCCTTGTGGGCGTCCTTGATTTTGTTACCTGCCTCACTAGGCTGGCCCCTTGTAGGCATCCTTGATTTTGTTACCTGCCGCACTAGGCTGGCCCCTTGTGGGCGTCCTTGATTTTGTTACCTGCTGCACTAGGCCGGCCCCTTGTGGGCATCCTTGATTTTGCTGACATCTCCTCGCCTTCCCTCGGTCCTCATTGTTGATTTTAAAATGTCGGATGGGCCTGTTAGTCTCAGGACATCATTGAAAGTGTTCAGATTATGCCTGGCAGTTAAACATGATATGAAACAGGACATTTTGATTGTAAATAACATTTTTATGAATTTCTATTAAGCTGTTAGGCAGAACAAAATAATTGCTGCTTTGTCTCTTTTTATACCATTTCCTGTCCTGTGGCGCAGCTAACTCCCAGGTGGTCCGAGAGTTATTAGTCATTTTATTGACTTCAGACTAATAGTGAAAGAGAAATCTGAGCAGCTAATACAAAGGCATATTAAAATGTTCATGGAAACATGGAATTAAAAGGTAAGTTTTGAGGCTGGTGTTGTGGAATAGTGGGTTAAGCTGCTGCCTGCAATGCCTGCATCTCATATGGGCACCTGTTCGAGTCCCAGATGCTCCACTTCTGATCCAGCTCCCTGCTAATGCACCTAGGAAAGCATCAGAAGATGGCCCAAGTGCTTGGGCCCATGCCATCCATATGGAAGACCTGAATGAAGTTCCCAGCTCCTGGCTTTAAAGCCTGCTGTTATGGCCATTTGAGGAGTGAGCAGATGAATGGAAGACATCTTTCTCTCTCTCTGTCCACCTCCCTCTCCCTCCCTCCCTCCTTCCTTCTGTAACTCTGCCTTCCAAATAAATAAATACATCTTAAAAAAAGAGAGAGAAGTTTCTTGGTGCACAACATTTTGAAGTTCAAGCGTAGTTTTTCGTTGTATTCTCCATGAACTTTTGAGAGCCACTTCCTGCATTACTGTGGCAATCATTTGATTTTTGTCAGTGAGTCTTTCAATTTCAGATGATGATAATGGGTAATTCTGTCTCTGTTTCCCTATTGATACACATGTGGATGCTTTCTGGTTTTTGTCTGTTGTGAATAGAGCTGCTGTGAACATTCCCATTCATGTCTTTCGTCCTGTTTCTACAGGTATGATGGCCAGGCCATAGGATAGGCATTCATTTATGTGCTGCAGTATCTGAAGACCGTTTTTTTTTTTTTTTCTCTGAAGATTTATTTATTGAAAGTCAGAGTTACACAGAGAGAGGAGAGACAGAGAGAGAGAGAGGTCTTCCATCTGCTGGTTCACTCCTCAATTGGCTGCAATGGCTGGAGCTGTGCCGATCCGAAGCCAGGACCAGGAGCTTCTTCCGGGTCTCCCATGTGGGTGCTGGGGCCCAAGGACTTGGGCCATCTTCCACTGCTTCCCTAGGCCATAGCAGAGAGCTGGTTTGGAAGTGGAGCAGCCAGGTCTCGAACCAGCGCCCATATGGGATGCCAGCGCTGCAGGCAGTGGCTGGCTTTACTCACTGTGCCACAGCCCCACAGTGCTGGCCCCAGTCCTTTAGTTTTAAGCATTCTTTCAGATGTGAGACGATAGGTCATTGTGGTCACGTGTGCATTTCCTGCCGCCTGATGCACCTTCGCGTGTGCTTACTGACGATTCCTGTGTCTTCTAGTTTTCTGCTCAGTTTTTAAAAATTGTACTGTTTTGTCTTCCTGATTTTTAGGGGTTTTCATATATTATGCTTTAGTTTTGAGGACATCTGCTTATCAAAGACACCTTTAAAATAAAAAGGCATGCTACAGACAGGGAGAAAAAAATGGAACTACAAATATTTGATTGCCTCTCTTGTTAATGATTTGTGCTTTTTCAAATCTTGCCTAATACATCTTCTCCTATCAAGATTTTTTGCTGTTTCCTTCTATAAATGCCATTTTGGCTTTTGCATTTAGGTCAATGAGCCCATTCAAGTTAATTTTGGGCCATGATGTAGGTAAGGGTCAAGATTCACTTGTTCTTCGACAGATAATCACTTGCTCCTGCACTGTTTATGAGAAAAGACCCACTAGATTGCAGTGTCTCCTTGCTGTAAATAAGATGATCTATCTCTGGACACAGTGTGTTCCGTATCCTGTTTGTCTCTCTGCAAAATAAGCTGTCTCCAGCATGGTAGCTGGCTTGCTGAAATCCTTGAACGCTGTTAGTTCCTTTTCTCAAACGTTGTTCTTCAGGACTCAAGCATTATAGGGCCTTTGCATTTTTGTGGAAGTTTCAGAATGATTTATTATTTCCTCTCCCAAAACAGTGGCTTATCAATTGATTGGGATTGCATTTACTTTGTGAGTCATTTTGGAGAAAATAGGCATTTTAACACTGTTGAGTCATCTGGACGATGACTAGAACCTGGAATATCTGTTTATTTAAGCCTTCTTTTATTTCTCTTAAGAATGTTTTGAAGTTTTCAGGATATAGGTTTTACACATTAAAAAAATGTATTCCTAGATGTTTAATATTTTTGATGTTATGTAAGTGGTATTTAAAGATGTTATTTTCTGCTTGCTAATATATAGAGACACATTAATTTCTTGTTTATTGACAGGGAACCAGGACCTTGTAAAAATTCATTTATTCCAGTTTCTTATAGATTGAATTTGATTTTCTGTGTGCATAATCATTTCACCTGCAAATAAAAAATACTTTTTTGTGTGTTTCTCTCCAAATGCAATCATTGTACCTTTTCAAGATTTATTTATTTTGAAAGTCTAAGTTACAGAGAGAGAGAGAGAGAGAGAGATTGATTGATTTCACTGATTCAGTCCCCAGATGGTCACAACGGCCAGCACTGGGCCAGCCCGAAGCCAGGAGCCAGGAGCTTATCCTGGTCTCCCATGTAGGTAGCACCAGCCAAGGACTTGGGGGCATCATTTACTGCCTTCCCAGGTGCATTGGCAGGAAGCTAGATTGGAAGCAGAGCAGCTGGAACTTGAACCAGCACTTGGATGTGGGGCCATAGTTGCAAATTGTGGTTCTGTGCCACAGGATGTGTCTCTTTTCTGTTCTTTGTTCTCTGTTATTATTTGCTTCTATCTCTGGTTTTAGTTTGATGTTTCTAAGCTTGGAATATTGTTTGTTTCTTATTAATCCAATTTTTCCTTTAGGGACTACTTTGTTAAACTCTCATGTTATCATTTACCTCAGAATATCTTTACATTTCCATTGTGATTTGTCCTGTATAGTTATTTAGAATTGTGATGCTTATGTAATATTGGGATATTTATTAATTATTTTTCTGTTAGTTTAGTCTGAATTCTAAAGTGGCAGATTTTGATTTTTTATAAGATTTGGAAGTTCATAATCCTCGATTTTTCTGATATTTCCCATTCTCTTCCTGCTTCTTTGGGATACCAGTTATTATCTCTACAGGAAGTCTTCAAAAAATTCATAGAAATGTCTGTTATGAAAAACCTATGGTGGGTTTCACTTTTTTTCAGCAAAATAATTTTTGATTTACCCTTATATATCGTACTTTACTTTTATTGTCTTTTCTCTTCTTTTTTCTCTCTCTACTTGGGTTTGTGTATTTCTTGTTGTCCTGTCTTAATGATTACTAATACCGTCCTCTGCTGTCTCCTATTATACTCATCCAGCTTTGCAACTGTAGAATGTTCATTTGATTATTTCTAAAGGATACTCTCTTGAAGTACATTATCTTTTTTATCCATTTGTCGTCTTTTTTTCTGTAACTTGCTTATCACAGTTCTTTTGAAGTCATGCCTGCTAATGCCTCTTTTTGGATTACCTCTGGGTTTGCTTCTGTTGACTGTTTTTTCTCTTGGTTAGTGCCTGTGTTTTTCCTTGCTTCTTTGCATGCCTGGTAACTTAAAAATACATGCTGAGTATTGTAGGTGAAATATATAAGCTGTGAATTATCCTCATTTGAAAGATGTTGAACTTTGTTGTGATGGCAGTTGAATGAGCAGCTCTTCAGCTCTGTTCTGGTGAGGTGAAGTGCAGTGTTTGGTTGGGTAAGGTTGACTTTGGCTTTGCTTACGCTTCTGCACAACTTGCAGAAAATTCTCCTGGGGTGACCCTCATGAGAGTTTTAGATCACTCCCCGTGTCTGTTCTCCCTTGTATTAATTACAGCCCAGTTGTTGTATGTTAGAAGAAAGTTGTTTTTGATTACAGAATAAACCTTGGGGTTGGTGCTGTAGTGTAGCAGGTAAAGCTGCTGCCTGCAGTACCAGAATCCCGTATGGGTGCTGGTTCAAGTCCCAGCTGCTCCTCTTCCGATCCAGCTCTTTGCTATGGCCTAGGGAAGCAGTGGAAGATGGTCCAAGTCCTTGGGCCCCTGCACCCATGTGGGAGACCCAGAAGAAGCTCCTGGCTCCTGGCTTCAGATTGGTGCAGCTCCAGCTGTTGTGGTCAATTGGGGAGTGAATCAGGGGATGGAAGACTTCTCTCTCTCTCTCTCTCTCTGCTTCTCTGCCTCTCCTTCTCTCTCTGTTAACTCTGACTCTCAAATAAATAAATCTTTAAAAGAAGAGAGAGAGAATAAGCCTCATATCAGCTGTTCCATGACCAGAGCCTGAAGTCTGCCATTTGCTTATACACACCGATGAACTATCTTTGGAGTCAGGTTTATTGCTTTTGTTTTATTCCAGCAGCAACACTTTGGTTTGGTTGTCATTATGGCCTAACTTCTGTATCTCAGAGGAACAAGTGTTAACTGGGAAAACAGTTTGTGTTATTCCCCTAAGCATCATTTCGTGTCCTGGTGATGGGTTGAGTGTTGTTACATTAGTATTTTTGGCTGATGGGAAAGCCTGCTGTGTTTCTGTGCTTTCAGGAGTCATCTGTTGCAGTCTGCTTTGGAGTCGCCTCCCATCTCTCCCGTGTCCTCCTCTGCGAAGAAGCTCACCGGCAGAGCCCTCACTCCTGCTGCCGCCAGACAGTCTTCAAAGCATGGCCGCAGACTGATAGACAATTTCTTGATCAAGGAAGTTGCAAGTTCCACATCAGAGTTGTTGATAAACGAAAAGGAAAGCAAATTGAGCCCTCAGACAGAGGCGGGCCCTTCTGCAGAGCCCAAGGAGACATGTTTCCCAGAAAAGGTGACTCCTGGCTCCATGGAGGCCAACGGTCCCGAGACCCCCTCTACATCCACTTTGAAACAGGTTGCTAAAGGTAGGAAATTCTTACGTGACAATTCATACTCAGCGGTCGTCTCCTGGCCTCTTACCCGTGTAGACCTGAGAGACCGCCCCAGATCCCTGTAACTCCACGAAGTTGTTTGGGAGTGACGAACTAATCTTAGCATTACGTGGGGAATTACCAATAAAAGCTAAATCAATCAGTTCGTGCCCGTTGGAAAGGTGAGCAGTAGTTGGGCCAGCCAGTCAGTGCGTTGATGAAGCTGCTCCTGCCCCTGCCTTGCCTGCAGACCAGGGCTGTCTTCCCCAGCCTGTTGTGATTGCGTCTGTGCTAAATACGGATGGCAGCTGACGCTTGGGAAAACCTAGGACTAGCTTAGAGTTTGGTCGTACCTTGCTGGAAAAGCTTAACCAGAGCATTCTCCAATAAATCAACTTGCAGGCTCATTGCATTCTTTTCCTCTAGGCCCAAGATTCTAATTGTGTGACTCCCCGCATATAGCGTTACCCGGTCCTGTTGCCTTCATGGGTTATTCTTTTTCTCTTCTGTTTTTCTAAGTATATGTTAAATTGGGATTCCGTTTTTTGTCTTAATTGCTGAAAGGTATTGGCTTATATAATTTTTTATTTTTCTGCAAATAATAACACCCTTTTCTCTTTTTAAAAAATACAGTGGATTGTCCTGTTTGTGGGGTTAACATTCCAGAGAGTCACATTAATAAGCACCTAGACAGCTGTTTGTCCCGTGAAGAGAAGAAGGAAAGCCTCCGAAGGTAAGATAGTTGAGCGCGACTCTTTATTTCTTCTAAGATTTATTTATTTATTTGAAAGGCAAAGTTACAGAGAGAGATGTAGAAACAGAAAGAGATCTTCTTTCTGTTGGTTTACTCTTCAATAACCACAAAAAGCTGGGGCTGGGTCAGGCCGAGGCCAGGAGCCTGGAACTCCATCTGGGTCTCCCACGTGGGTGCAGGGACCCAAGCACTAGGGCCATCCTCTGCTGCTTTCCCAGGCGCATTTGCCGGAAGCTGGATTGGAAATGGAGTGGCCAGGACTCACACCGTCACCCATGTGGGATGCCGGTGCTGAGGCGGTGCCTTTACCTGCTGCATGACGATGCTGGCACCGCAGCACAACTCGGCGCCTTTCTGTAGGTGTTTCCTAGGCTTTACGAATTTGGAAAAAAAGGCAGCGTTCACTCTGCTGTCTGCCCCAGCCCTCCAGTCCCCTTCTCCTTTAGCTGTGACGTCTCCCAGTCCCTGCCCGCTTGCTGTTTCCTCAGCTCCCACTCGGTCAGAATACTTAGCTGAGTCGGGTCTGGGGACTGCTACTAAAATTTTAAACGTCGGAGACCGCAGTTCATTTCTTTCCAAGCTCGTCTGTGAAATTGGGTGTTGTGGGCCAGAGCTGTTTTCTGCTTTCCCCATTCCCAGGGCAGGAGCACCGATCAGTGGGGCTTGCTGGGGAGCGTGAGGCTTAAGCGTCCAGGAGAAGAAGACTTGGAAAGAAGACGGAAGCCGAAGAAGTGAATGGGGATCGGGAAGTGGGCGTGACTGGAGCGATCGGCTCCTTAGTTTCCTCTGTCTTGAAGGACGTAGCAGACTGATTTCCAAAAGCCGTGAAGTAATAGTACCTTGTAAAGAAGGCAGGACCGTCTTACTGTTTTTGTGATTAGAGATAGATGCCGCTTGATTTTTGAGCAAGTTTTAACGGAGTCCAGGTTCTGAAGAACACTTGGTGTCACGTGATCCAGAAGGCAACCTACAGCACAGCTTACTGTGTTAGCTCCTGGTTGGGGACGTGCTTGAGAATGGACCCTGGGCAGCTGCGTACGCACAATGCTCCCACCTAGTGGGCAGTGTGTAGGAGAGAATAAAGGTTTTAGATGGCTTAGTTAGGAGAGACTTGAGATAAGTTAAGCTGGATGGTCCCACAGATTGTTTCCCATACGTCGTGGGAAGTCTGCAGGCTGCCTTTCTCTTTGAGGGTGTTTGTTCCTATAGAATGAGTTGGGAGTATGGAAGCTGAGTATTTTCTTTCTCAAGAATAAAGAATTGCTTTTTCTGGATACATCTGTCATGTTTCTGCAGATATGTTCAGCTCAAAGACAGCCTTGTCCATGATTTGTCAGTGTCCAAGAGTGAACAGTGCAGTCCAGGGGCTGGTGCTGTGGTGTAGTGGGCTAAAGTCTCCGCCGGCAGTGCCGGCGTCCCATGTGGGCGCTGGTTCCAGTCCTGGCTGCTCCTCTTCCGATCCAGGTCTCTGCTAAGGCCTGGGAAAGCAGTGGAGGATGGCCCAAGCATTTGGGCCCCTGCATCCATGTGGGGGACCTGAAGGCAGCCCCTGGCTCCTGGCTTTGGATTGGCCCAGCTCAAGCCGTTGTGGCCATTTGGAGAGTGAATCAGCGGTTGGAAGAGCTTTCTCTCTGTCTCTGCCTCTCACTGTCTGTAACTCTACCTCTCAAGTAAATAATTAAAATAAAGAAATAATAAATACAAAGAACACTGCAGCCCTGCCGGTTGCTCCTGAGTGTGACTTGGACACACAGCGTGCCGGTCGCCCTGTTAGTGCACGGGAGGCTCGGAGAAGTCCTGCTTGAAAAGTAACCGCTGGGTTTGTTTAACGCGGGCATGCCTAGATTTGCTGGATCCTGACTTTCTGTCTGGCTGGCTGTAATCTGTGACAGCGGTGTTCAGAGGCACTGTGGGGGAACGTTGAGTCGTGTGCTGGTTCTGGGGTTCCCTCACATGAGGAGCACCTGCCAGGTGTTCACTTTGCCACAACACCCTGCCAGGCTGTCTCCTGGATCTGGGTGACAGCTTCATTCTGCATAAACCCTCCCAGGGTCGACTGCGGGCGCAGCCCCTTTGGTGCCTTCGGATTCTGAGGCCCTTGCGTGCGTTTCACAGTTTGACCAAATCGTGAATGGAAGACCGGTCATTTTTCTGTCTGGGGAAGCATTTGGCAGGCTTCAGGTCTTTAAATTCTTGATAGAAATGTTTCATCTCTGCAGAGTTTTCCGTCGTAAATGCCAGGAAATAGTTCGGTTCTGTAGAATTTCACGGTGGTAAGTTTAATCTTGTCTCCTTTGTAAAAATAAATGAGTCAGATCCAGAACTAATGAATTGTCCTTCCATGTGCTGTGTAAACACCTGCAAAGTTATTCAGCCAGTGATGCCTACTGTGATTTTATTTTGTGATTTTATTAGTCTTGTAGAATTCAATGGGCTCTCATTATAAGAAGAACAATTTTCAGAAAAATATAATCTGTTGAGGTTTTACAGCCCTTTTTACAGTCAAGCAGTTACTTCTGGCTTTTAGACTTTGTTAGGTTAAAGGAACTAGGTTAGTCTGGGAATGGCACTGCTGGTAAGAGGCGGGTGGCTGGTGATCAGCTGTGGTATTTGTCTAGGTGGGACCTTTGGACTGGTGGCCTCGGGTTAACCCTGAGGAACCCTGTGGAAAATATTGATTTCCGGTCTGTGCTTGGGACCTGATTTGTAGTTGGTAGATGGCCATGGAGAAGGGCCTGGGCATCTGTGCTCTAGACGCATTCTCCGGATGGCCTTGAGGCGCTGGCAGGTTTGGGAAGCCCAGCCCTCTGTGAACTGGTGCTGTCCAAATCCTTTGTAAAGTCTTGATTTTCAGACAGACCTGTTGCTTCCAAGTTTCTGTTAATTTTCACCTGCAACTTTGAGTTCTCGTTTTGAAGCTGTGGCGCTGTAGTGACAGTGTGAATACTTCTTTCTTGAGAGCCTCGTCGCCACAGAGGGGAGCCGGGCTGTGCACGAGGGCACCCTGCTCTGATCCCGTGAAGCGGGCAAGGTGCTGCTGGAGCGCCGCTTGATGGCTTTTCTCGAGTCACTGAAACTTTTAGAGGGCCTGAATTCTAGGCCATTCTGAGGAACAATATTTATTAAGATTGTTTTTTTTTTTTTTTGAGAGAGAGCATAGATGGAAGAAATTTGATATAGCTTTTTGTTTAAAATTATAGTTTGGTGCTTATCTGTGTATTAAAAGTATGTAAATAAAATGAAAAGCCAGGTGGTGATTTTGCTAATCTACTTCTTGAAATGTCTTAAACATTTACCAATGTAAATAACTGCAGTTGAAGTCAACAAAACTCTGTTGTATTTTTTGCTGTTGATTCAGTTGTGTCCTTTGAGGATGATGCCACCGTTCTCTGCTCGTCACCTCGCTGGCATCCTTTTCGTAGCTGGTGACGGGTTGGGTGGCACGCACGTCCTAACAAGTCTTATCTTCCCTGACTTCATGCTTTTGATTTCGTATCACCTTGAGTTTGAGGGGCCGTTTCTGCACAGGCTCTGTGAGATGAGCTGTCTTTAAATCCATAGCTGCACTTTCAGCAGCGTTTGTGATCTGTTGTGGGAAGTAGATGGGTTCGTCCAGGGATTTTGCCTGAGAACCGTGGCAACTTGAAGAAACAGCAGGCTCTAACCCGGTGCAGAGGTCGGACTGTGTGAGGGTGCTGCTAGGTGGAGCTCTGGCTTTGAGCCACAGGCCTTCCGTGTGAGCCGTCCCCTTTCGCATTGTTCGGCCTGGACACTGGGACCCTCTGTCTGGACGGCTGCCAGCCTCTCGCGTGTCGTGTCAGACGTGTCCACTTCGTCTGCATATGCACTCCTTCTTCCCTCTCCTCTTGGCAGGGCTTCTCCTGTCCTCCAGTCACCAGGTGTCGAGCAGAAGGCAGATCACTGTTCTTCATGAAAGCACTCGATACTGCGCAGCGATACTCAGAGCTGTGCTTTTCCCTTTTCAGTTCTGTCCACAAAAGGAAGCCACTGCCTAAAACTGTGTACAACTTGCTCTCCGATCGTGACTTGAAGAAAAAGCTGAAACAGCATGGATTGTCTACTCAAGGAAGCAAACAACAGCTTATTAAAAGACACCAAGAATTTGTTCACATGTACAATGCCCAGTGTGATGCTTTGCACCCTAAATCAGGTAAGATCCTGCGACAGTGAGTTTTGCTTATCCTCTGGATGAGGCAATTTTGTGTCCTCGGAGATTATAGAACCATACTAAAACAATTCTAACACAGTTTGATAGTAGGTAGGACGTGCAAATGTGTTCCTTCTCAAGGTACCTGGAGGGTTTATCATAAGCCAGCCTTCCTCAGCCTGTCTCCCAGGACCCACACTCCCCTCTCAGAGGCACCCCTTGCCACTTTCCTAAGGGTTGTTGTAGAGACAGCGTGGTTGTGAGCATGGATCTCGGGAGCCTGGGTGACATTCCAGCTGTTACTGTTATGGGTGGTGACTGTGGGCAAGGTGCTGGTATGGAGGTGCCTCTCTTCTCAGCCAGAGAGAGTAACAGTGTTACCTACTTCATCACGTGTTTGAGAGGAAGCCAGGATAGAATGTTTGTGAAGTGCTTAAGCTTCCTCTCCCTGTCCCTCCCTGAGGCGGAGGTCTAGGCGCTGTGCTCAGCATGGAAGGGGGGACCAGCCTGGCTGCCTGCCTGCTTCAGCACGTCTTGTCTTAGAGCACTGAAGCCAGGCTCTGTGGTCTGTCACTGACCGTCCTAGCTCTGTGAAGGCGGCTGGTGTGTGGACAGTTGTTCAGTTGGTGTCACAATGTCCTACTCAGCTGCCCTTTTTCTCTGCCTCCCACTCACCTGCTGATGGACAGCTGCACTCTGCCTCATTTTTGGCTGTAGTAGTAAAGTGTTGTGGGTGACTTAGTGAGCTTTATGTTGCGGCATCTGTTCCATGGGCTGGGTGATTGGTAGTCAGGTGTACTTGGCTCACGATTCTGGAGGCTGGGCAGTCCAAGGTCACGTGTTGGAGCTGGCTGTGGCCTTCGTGCTGTGCTGCGAGTCGCAGTAGGCTGAAGAGCAACAGAGGGCCTCAGTCAGCTCCCGTAGCAGAGCCACTCGGTCATTTACGCAGTCCTGCGGAAGTGGCAGTGACCCATGGAGGCACACCCTTGTGACCTTGTGACTTCTTAGACCTCTCCCCCCGCAACACTGTTAGGTTGGGGGTTCGGTTTCCAGCACATTAACTTTGGGAGTGAATTCAAAGGTCTTTCTGTAGCTGTAAGTTTTCATTTTTCTTAAATAAATGCCTGGGAATGGGGTTGCTAGGTCCCAGGTAAGTGTGTGCTTCAGACGCTTAAGAAACTGTAAAACTGATAGTCAAAGAATGGTACTGTTTGCATTGTGTGAGAGTCCACTTGCCCCACGTTTTTGCCAGCACTGGTATTTTCAGTCTTCTGTAATTTTAGCTCTTCTGGGGGGTGACGTGATGTCTCATGATAGTTTTAATGTTTTTGCAACTAATGACGTGTTTTTTGTTTTATTGAATTCCAGTCTTCTATTATTTCCTTCTTCTTATTTACTCTAGATTTAATTTGGTCTTCTTTTTCTAACTTATGGAGGAATTTGAGATAATTACTTTTAGATTCTTCTCCTAATATAAATATTCAAAACTATGAATTTTCCTCCAAGTACCATTTTACCTACATCCATAAACAATGATTTTTTTTTGTTTGTTTAGTTTCTTTCTTTGTTTCTTATAGGCTGCATAAAATTATTTAGTTTTCGCTTATCTGAAATGCTTCAGACCAGAAGTGTTTTGTATTTTGAATTTTTTTTCACATTTAGGAATATTTGCATGTACATTAAATGTTATCTTAGACATGGGATCCGAGTCTGAACACAAAATTTATGTTTCATACATATGTTATGCACGTAGTCTCAGGTAATTTTATGTAATGTTTCTGCTATAAACTGTCAGTTCTCTTTTTAAGAAAATAAAACATTGGAAGGAAAGTCGCTGTGGACCCCTGTAGCGACCGTCCGTTTTCAGTACTCATTTCTCTGTACGGGTGCTGTTTTCTCTCCTGTGCCGCCTTCATGCCCCTGCAAATCTTCACGCAGTGTTTCTTGTGGGATAGATGTGCTGTTGAGAAATTATTTATCTAAAAAGTCTTAATTCTGCATTCTTTTTAAAAGATTTGTTTGGAAATAATTTCACACTTACAAGAAGGCTGCAGAGCTATCCCAAGGAGTGCAGAATGCCCCCTTTCCAAGGTTCATGTCCTGGCATTTTGCCCCTTGGCCTTGTGAGTGGCTTTCCCCCTCTCTGTCTGAGAGAGTGTGTGTCCACAGATGCGCCTGCAGCTTTGAAGCTGTCTGAGAACAGTGCTGACCTCATCACTTCACCTCTGAACAAGATGCTCTCTTCTGTCGGCGCAGGGCAGGTGGCCCCTCCTGCACGTTCAGCTTTGTCGGAATACTTCACGTACTTTGTCGTCTGCCAGTTTTGTCAGGGTACCCAGGAATGACCTCTCTGGGTTTTTTTTCCCTGCTAGTACATGGTCCAGTTTTGGATCACATAGTGCAGCTTAGTTATATGATCTTTTCAATCTGGAACAACTCCTCAGCCTTTCTTTGTCTTATAACATTGGACTTTTAAAAGAACACATTTTGGGGCTAGTGTTGTGGCGTAGCAGGTAAAGCCAACCATCTGTGGTGCCGGCTTCTCATATGGGCACTGTTTCAAGTCCCAGCTGCTCCACTTCCGATCCAGCTCTCTGCTGTGGCCTGGGAGAGCAGTAGAAAAGGGCCTGACTGCTTGGGCCCCTGCACCTGTGTGAGAGACCAGGCTAAAGCTCCTTGGCTCCTGGCTTCAGATTGGTACAACTCTGGCCTTTGTGCCATCTGGGGAGTGAACCAGCAAATGAAAGACCTCTCTCTTTCTCTCTCTCTGCCTCTGTGTAACTCTTTCAAATAGATAAATACATCTTTTTTTTTTTTTGATTTTTTAATTTTTAATTTTTTGACAGGCAGAGTGGACAGTGAGAGAGAAAGAAAGAAAGATCTTCCTTTGCCGTTGGTTCACCCTCCAATGGCCGCCGTGGCCAGCGCGCTGCGGCTGGCACACCGCCCTGATCCGAAGGCAGGAGCCAGGTGCTTCTCCTGGTCTCCCATAGGGTGCAGGACGCAAGGACTTGGGCCATCCTCCACTGCTCTCCCTGGCCACAGCAGAGAGCTGGCCTGGAAGAGGGGCAACCGGGACAGAATCCGGCACCCTGACTGGGACTAGAACCCGGTGTGCCGGCGCCGCAAGGCGGAGGATTAGCCTACTGAGCCGCAGCGCCGGCCTTAAATAAATAAATAAATTAAAAAAAAAAAATCTGTGTGTGTATGTGTGTGTGTGGTGTATGTATGTGTCTGTGTGTGTGTATTTGTGTGTGTGTCTCTGTGGTGTGTGTATGTCAGTGCATGTGTGATATGTGTCTCAGTGTTTGTGTGTGTGCATATATGTAGGTACGAACATTTTTGGTGTGTGTGGTCTATCAGTGCATATGTGATATGTGTGTGTGTTTCTCTGTGGGTGCATATATTTAGGTGTGAATGTGTGTGGTGTGTTTGTGTTATGTATCAGTGCATGTGTCATGTGTGTCTGTTTCTCTTTGTAGGTATGAATGTGTGTGGTGTGTGTTTGGTGTATGTCAGTGCATGTGTGATGTGTGTCTCTGCATGTGTGTGGAGTGTGTATGTGGTGTGTGTTTTTGGTGTGTGTCAGTGCATGTGTGATGTGTGTCTCTGTGTTCATGTGTGTGGAGTGTGTGTGTGGTGTGTCTTAGTGGTATATGTCAGTGAATGTGTGATGTGCGTCTCTGTGTGCATGTGTGTGGAGTGTGTGTGTGTGGTGTGTGTCAGTGCATGTGTGTGGAGTGTGTGTGGTGCATGTTAGTGGTATGTGTCAGTGCATGTGTGATGTGCGTCTCTGCATGTGTGTGGTGTGTGTGTGGTCTGTGTCAGTGCATGTGTGATGTGTGTCTGTGCATGTGTGTGGAGTGTGTGTGGTATGTGTCAGTGCATGTGTGTGTAGTGTGTGTGTTTGTGGTGTGTCAGTGCATGTGTGATGTGTGTCTGTGCGTGTGTGTGGTGTGTGTGTGGTGTGTGTCAGTGCATGTGTGATGTGCGTCTCTGTGCATATGTGTGGAGTGTGTGTGGTCTGTGTCAATGCATGTGTGATGTGCGTCTCTGTGTGTGTGCAGGTGTGTGGAGTGTGTGTGGTATGTATCAGTGCATCTCTGCATGTGTGTATGGTATGTGTGTGGTGTGTGTCATTGCATGTGTGATGTGTGTCTGTGTGCGTGTGTGGTCTGCGTGTGGTCTACAGTAGACTGTTTCTCGTTCTGACTGTCTTGGTGCTCCCTCCTGACTGTGCTCAGTGCTGCCTCCCTGAAGGTGCTGTGTGAGTGTCAGTGCCATTTTGTCCTCAGAGCGCCCCGTGCAGGCAGCTGGCCTCTGTGTACCCCTTTCTTTTCTTTCTTTCTTTCTGTCTTTTTTTTTTTTTTAAGATTTATTTATTTTTCTGAGAGGCAGAGTAACAGAGGGAGAGACAGAGAGATCTTCCATCTACTGGTTCACTCCCCAAATGGCCGCAACGGCTGGAGCTGAGCCAGGAGAAACCAGGAGCTTCTTGCAGGCCTCCCATGTGGGTGCAGGGGTCTGTGGATTGACCCTTTTAATACTCTGTAGCTAGTTTGTACCCCCATTAAAATCTCACCCGTGGGGCTGGCGCTGTGGTGCAGCGCTTTAAAGCCCTGGTCTGAAGTGCTGGCATCCCATCTGGATGCTGGTTCAAGTCCCGGCTGCTCTACTTCCGATCCAGCTCTCTGCTATGGCCTGGGAAAGCAGTGGAGGATGGCCCAGGTCCTTGGGCCCCTGTGCTCACATTGGAGACTGGGAAGAAGCTCCTGGCTTTGGATCGGCGCAGCTCTAGCTGTTGCCGATTTGGGTAGTGAACCAGCAGATGGAAGACCTTTCTCTCTGTCTCTACCTCTCTCTGTAGCTCTGCCTTTCAAATAAATAAAATAAATCTTAAAAAAAAAAAAAAAAAGTCTCACTCGTTTAGTGAGTGTCGTTTGGTGATTTTGCCTGGACTCATCTTTCCCGCCGTCCTGTGAAGTGTAGTTTCCCCAGTCCAG